TATGTTTGCATGTGTGGGGTCATATATGTGGAAGTTGAACTGTGTGTATACATGTGAGTGCACTAAATTGGTGCTGGGAATCTTGCTTGCTGGCTCTCTTCTTCGCTGAGGCAGAAGCTCTCACCGTCTACACCCAGAGCCCTTCCATGGAGCAAGTCCTGCCACTTCACCTTGAGGAATCCCCCGGGTTTTGAATGTTTTATTGAGTAACTGATTGACTGATGAGTGAGTGAGTGAGTGAGCGATTGTAGCTCAAATTCACCAATGGAAAAGCTGCACCATGCTCAGTGTTTGTTTGTTTGTTTGTTTGTTTGTTTGACATGCTTTTTTATATAGTTTTAGAGGCTGGATCCAACACTGGAAACTGTGACTACTCAGCCTCAAAAGAAGAAGGAAGGCAAGCAGTTGCCTGCAGGAAAGGGCGCCCCTTCTCACAACAGCTTGCCCATTACTAAAAGAAAAGTATTGGTCAATTATTAAGGAGCCTGCCCACATGTTTCCAAATACTCACTCTAGACCTGATCCCCTTACTGCTATGTTGGCAACTGAGTTTCAGCATGAGTTTCAGAGGTGACTAAAGACATGCCAGCTGTAGCCACAAATAAGGCTCATTGTTACCGAAGATATCTGGAAGACTACACAAAATAAACCTGGGATTGCCAGGCCTGTGGACAGGGAACAGTTCTAAGTCCTGAAACATGAACTCTATGTCATTCTTAGACCGTCCCATCAGACCCATAGTCTCAGGACTTACAGAAGGAGGTTGTCAGAGCAGCAATGATGGGGAACAGTGGGATCTTTCTGAAGCAGACATCTGCTCCACTGTCTGCAGTCTCCCCATGACCCCACGACATCCTACAGGGAGAGACCCCTAAATGACAGATGGGAAAGCTGAGCTCAGTGCAGATCCTGGATCAGCCCAGAGAGATATGTCCGTGACTGACCCTTTATTCTTAGCACCAAGAGCAGGTCTGGCAAAGAGGCTGATAAGTGTCTGAGGATGAATGAATGTGGACAGCATTATAATTAGTCACATGATGACTTGAACTGGAATCTTCTACTCTAAAGCTCGCATTCTTTGCACTGCACTGCTCAGCATATGCCGGTACCCATAGCCTGTGTATTGTACAGCTTAGACAGATGCCTAAAGTCATCCAGATGTTGAAGGATCAAATGAGGGAACGGAGGAAAGAAGGGAAGATTGAATGAACAAACAACTGTAATATGTACAGCCCTGCTCAGTCTCTCTCTCTTTTATTTAGGAGCCATTCCAGAAACATTTGACAAGCGAGAAAGAAAACGTCTTTACTCCACACAGTCCTTGACAAGGAAGAATTTGTTCCAAAATTTCACACAGCTACTACTCCTACAAAATTCTTGCCCAAGAGTCTGGGAGACCTTGGTCAGGAAAAGCAGGCATCAGTATGGACCAGAGGAGAAAGGACGTCTGATTGAGATGCAAGACTTATTTGCCCCAAGCCCGGGTACCCAGGAAGAGCCTCAGCTCGTCATATTGTATGGGGCTGCTGGGACTGGGAAGTCAACACTGGCGAGGCATGTGAGCAGAGCCTGGAGGCGAGGCCAGCTCTACAGGGACCGTTTCCAGCAAGTCTTCTTCTTCAGCTGCAGGGAGCTGGCCCAGTGCCAGCAGCTGAGTCTGGCAGAGCTCATAGCACAGGGCCAGACTCTGCTCACAGCTCCCATCAGGCAGATCCTGGCTCAGCCTGAGAAGCTGCTCTTCATCCTGGATGGCATAGATGAGCCAGCATGGGTCTTGGAGGGGCAGGATCCTGAGCTGTGTCTGCACTGGAGTCAGACACAGCCAGTGCACACGCTCCTGGGCAGTTTGCTGGGAAAATCTGTCCTCCCGGGGGCTTCCTTCCTGCTCACAGCTCGGACCACAGCTCTCCAGAGGCTCATTCCTTCCTTGAGGCGGCCGCGTTGGGTGGAAGTCCTGGGCTTCTCTGAGTCAGGACGGAAGGAATATTTCAACAAATATTTTCTTGAGGAAAGAAAAGCAATCGAAGCTTTTCATTTAGTTGAATCAGACCCAGTGCTCTCGACCCTGTGTCAGGTCCCCTGGGTGAGCTGGCTGGTCTGCACTTGCCTGTCACAGCAGATGGAGCAGGGAGGACATCTCTTCCTGGCCTCACAGACCACCACCACTCTCTGCCTGAAATACCTTTCCCAGACAATCCAAGGTCAGCACCTGGAGAACCAGCTCAGGGCTCTCTGCTCAGTGGCTGCTGAGGGGATTTGCAGAAGAAGGACCTTGTTCAGTGCAATTGACCTCCATAAGCAAGGATTAGTTAAGGCTGACATTGGCAATTTCCTGAAGATCAGTGTCCTTCAACAGCAGCCCGGCTCTCTGAGCTGCAGCTTTGCCCACTTGTGTCTCCAGGAGTTCTTTGCAGCGATGGCCTGTATCTTCAGGGATACTTTGGAAAGATGTGGTAATATAGAAAAGGACAGAATTATGGAAAATCTGAGACGAAGGTACAAGAGTCATGAGCTGTGTGAGGCACCCATTATACAGTTCTTATTTGGACTCTCGAGTGAAGAAGGACTGAGAGAAATGGAGAGGATCTTTGCCTGCAGGCTGCCCTGGAAGCCAAAGTTGACACTTGTGTCTGACATCCTCGGGAAAACCCTACCCCATCAACTGTATTCTCTGGGTTTGTTCCACTGTCTGTTTGAGCATCGGGAGGAGAAACTCCTGAAAAGGGTGATGCATGATCTTGAAGAAGGAACTGCTCAAGTCCTAATGGGGGTGAAGGAACCAGTATTTCAGCCAAATATTGTATATCTGGTGGTGAGGTCAGAGGTGGAGCTCATGGTGGTCACTTTCTGCATTAGGTTCTGCTGCTGTGTGAGAAGCCTTCAGCTCCATGAGGGTGAACCGAGGACACAAGCACTGCCAGTTCCCAGGATGGTTCTGTGAGTATCCAGACACAGCCCTCTCTCCAGCTTCCCCATGGATCCCTCAAGCCCACATGCTCTAAACACAGGAAGCACGCTTAGCTGGTTCCAAGAAATCAGGGTAGAGGTCATCAGTGACATCAGCTGCTGAATCTGACCACCCTTCTCTGTCTGCCTCTGTGTGCCTGACCATGGGGTGGGCTGTGAAGTTCTGTCTCTCTGTGCCTCGGTGGGACACCCACCTTCTCTCATTCAAATCATTTTCACAAGGTTCCAGCACCCCATAGTTACTGATCCTCTCCCTTAACACGCTTTCTCTCTGAGAAACTGCTCATTCACCTACCGCAGGCACCAACTCCTATTCTCATGACAGTGACCTTGGCCCTGAGGGTTTCCACCATCAATCACCTCAGAGTTCCTCAGTTTTCCCTACCCAGATGATTTCCTGTATGTGCCACTGAAGGCAGTCTGGCCCTGGAATTCACCCTAATGGCTCCCCAACTCCTACCCAATCTTAGCAGCAAGGTAGAGTTCTCCTTCCAGGGGTCCCTCCCACTGTGCTGTAACGGTCACTCAGTACCAAGATGGGGGTCTCTCTCCTCTACGGATGATTCCTTCCATTAGTATTCGTTAGGCACTCATTTATGGCAGGCCTTATTACAGGAAAACTACCAACCAATTACAGGAGAAAATATAGTTGCAGCCTTTAGTTCCTCAAGATGGTAGAGAAGATGGACAACAACTCTAATCACACATGGTGTGACACATGAAATGATCACGCAAACACCAGGCGCCAGGGAAGGAAGGGTCACTCATCTGGAGAAGAGTGGAGTACACTCAGAGGAACAGATTTTGAGACTTCTGTTTTTACACATTGAAGCTTTTCCAGATAAGATGAGCTGGACTTCCTGCATAAGCTTGAAATTTCATCCTTCATTCAGGAGGCTAAACCAGGGAGATTCCTTGAGTTCAGGACTTACACAGCAATCTGGGCAATTCTGCCAAAGCCCACCTAAAACATAAAAAAGTAATGGAGTAGCTGTTAGAGAACAAGGGTATGAGGAGAGGAGGGGAAACTGATCAAAGGGGGAACCTGATCAAGCTGTCTTATGCACAGTCAGTAAATTGTCTCACTGACTCTCCTTTTATATAATTGAGAAAAACTAATTTAAAACACGCTTGTAGAAAAGTGGTGACATATCATTTATCAAATCAATAAAAATTACTTCCCACCAGAATTCCATTTCTCATTAAGGCTTGGGGAAGTGAGCTTGGTCATACGTGCCTGATACCACAAAATTAGAAGATTGAGGGAAGACAATCAGAAGTTCCAGGCCAGCCTGGCTCCATAGAGTGACACTGTCTCAAAGCATCATGGGCTAAGGATGTTATTCATTCATAGAGAGATTGCCTAGTGTTAAATTTCTATTGGTGTTACAAAAGGTCATGGCCAGGGAAACTTTTTAGTTTATGTGGGCCAGGAAGCAACCTGGAGGCAGAAGCAAGTGGATCTTTGAGTTTGAGGCCAGCCTGATCTACAGAGCAAGTTCCAGCACATCCAAGGCTATGTAGAGAAACCCTGTATAAAAAAAAATTGTTTGGGCTTATGGTTGCAGAGGGATCAGGGTCCATCTGACAAAGGGAAAGGATGGTGACTGGAGCAGCAGGTGAGAGCTCATATCTTGAACCATAAACAGGAAGTAGAGAGGATCCTGGGAATGCTCAAAGCTTTCAAATCTTAAAGCCTGCCCCCAATGACATCTTTCCTCCAACAAAGGCACACCTCCTAGGGCTCCCCCAAAAAGGACCATGAGTTGAACAAACCATTCAAATGACCCTGACTCTGGGGGAATCTCATTCAATACATCACATCTAGTGAGCACAGGACCCTAGATTTTGTACACAGCGTCATTTCGAGAATTGGATATTCTCTAAATCTCCAATTCAGAGATACCTATTAATCTTTTTTTCTACATACTTTTTACAGTGAGCCACACTTTATCTATTATCTTATACACCCATTTATTTTCTAAATGGATTAAGACTGTTCTGCAGTTATTAAGAATCTAGTTACAATACAGGTCTGAATAACATTATGATAATCCCAAGGGAGAATACCTTGGCCAGTTGGACCATTTGTTTTTCCTGTTCTTGGCCAATTACAGTTGTTACTAAGTATCTACGTTTATAAACAAGTAACCCTGGAAGGATCTTGATACAGATCTTGCAAGTAGAAGTGGTCTAATGTCACCTTCAGAAGAATTCTAAATAGGTACAAAGAAGCCAAATGGGTCAAAAGAAACCAGGAACACCAAGCCTGCATGGAAAGGACAGACCCTTGGGAAAATGTGAGGCTTCAGCTACTAGTGAGAAGAATAAGTTGAGAGAAAAATCAGCCAGACAAAGCAGGGAGATAAGTAGACCATTGCACACAAGGAAAACAGTTCAGAGGTGGAGTTGGCCAAAGCCAAGGGAAGGGAAAGAACCAGTCCAGAAAATTATGCTTTCAAAGATACTGAATGAGAATTTTTTCTGTGTCTGGCTAATGATGGCACCTCAAGCATTTTGAATAATAAATCCTGAAATTCCATGCTCTGTCAATGTAATTACTAACCATGAATCAGAACTGCCATCCTTTGGGGGCTGGAAAAGTGGTTCACGTTTAAGACCACTTGATGCTCTGGCAGAGAATGTGGATTTGTTCCCAGCACCCACAGCAGATGGCTCACACCACCTTGAACTACAGTCGCTGCGACCCCAGGCCCTGCTTCTAACCTCTGCAGCTCCTACATCTGTGTAGCGCATGCACAGACAAGCAGGCATGCAATCGTACACATAAAGTAAAATACAAATAAAGCTTTTAAAAGAAAACAGCATCATTTGAGCTTTAATATTTGGTTTTCTTAACATTTCTTTGATTCTGTAAAATTGGAATAAAACATCCTATACTTTTTGTTTCAGTCAAAGAGGGTGACAATCTGTGTTTTGAGAGTTTGGGTTTTTTTCCAAGTTTATTGTTTTGTTTTGTTTGTAGTAAAGGGGACCCAATGTTGCACAGGCCAGGCACGGAGCTGCTCACAGTCACTTGGGGTTTTAGTTTAGAATGGCCTAGCCTCCCCAATCGCCTGCCTTTTGTGCTCATTTGCTGGCATTAAAGGAATATACTACCATTCTATGCTGATTCTCTCTCTCTTTTTCCTATCAGATCCAGATGGACTCCTATTACTGACGCCAGCTGGAAGATTCTCTTCTTCAATCTTAAATTCACTAGAAACCTGGAGGAGCTGGACCTCAGTGGAAATGCCCTGAGGCACTCTGCAGTGAAGCATCTTTGTAGAACCCTGAGACACCCTGGTTGCAAACTAAAGACCTTGTGGTGAGTCCGGCCTGGGTCCCCCCCAAAGTAGGGATGGATGGCAGGAGACTAAAGGGGGAAGCTGAGTCTGGGGTGAGGACTGGTATTCATCAAATATTCACTGAGCCCTCTTGATTATGCCTGTGACAGATTCCAGACATGCAATGATAAACCAATGAGATTCTGTTTGGGGGATCATGAGACTGACTGGCATTTGTCAAGGGACTCCACTAGCTATTGCTAACAATAGGCCTATAGGACTCCAATGAGACAAAATTCCTGAGGAAGTGGCTAGAAGGAGGGCTGAAGAACACAGAAGCAAAGTAAGGCATGAGGAGAGACAACTTCAGGTCCAGGGAATGGCATCTCCTGAATTTCCTCCTGCCCTCAGCCCTCATAACTAGACTTCTACTCTGTTTCTATGGACTTTTTCCTTATTCAGATTGCACATAATGAGAGAGATCATGTCCTATTCTATGTCTGGTGAGTTACACATCACATGGTTCTCGAGGTAGGCCAGTGAGCTATCCTGGGCCTCATGGAACTCTGCCCTGGGCAGCAGCAATAGAGAAGTGGTCAGCAATGTGTACTCCATGGCCCTGCAGCTCAGCTGTGGGAAGCATGAAGCTATCTACCCAGACAAGAACAGGCAACAAGAGAACTAAGCACTGCCAGCTCAGCATGCCAGGGCTCACAAAGGGAGGCCTGAGATCAGTGAGCCTGGGAGAAGCTGATGGCGAGCATCGACTGAGGTTTTTTTTCCCCAGCCCCAAGCTCCTGGAGTAAAGACTTATGATACTAAAAGTGCTATTTACAAATACCTATGCCACGCAGCCAGGCTCATTCTCTAATTAGCTCAGTTATTCTAGTCTAAGTTCTCCATGTGGCTGGTTACCTGTGCTCAGATACCACACATCTGTCCATTTCCGGCCTAAACTCTAGGCCATAGTTTTTTTAATTGACAGATGATGCATCAGTATAGTACAAGAAGACATTCCCTCAATATTTCCCCTGTTAAGTACAATGAAAACTCTTTTTCTCTCAATAATAAACTATATACAATTGTAACAATTATGAAACAATTATGAAAATTATTAGGTAAGATTTATACTCAAAAATGTCCAGCCCATAAAAATATTTGGCAACTTAGGAAAAAGTATTCTGTTATCTAGCTTATCTTAGTGTGTTCAGATTTCCATACCTAAATTATTTTCTATCATGAGTAGTATTACAAATCCCAAAGCATCTTCTTAGACCTTAAACATCTTCTTAAATCCTAAATAACTTAAGCTTTATTGCAAGACTATAACTATCTAGTCTTCAACTTCAACAGAGACTTGAGAAGGAAATATTACCTAGTAGATATGAAGTTTAGGCAAGCAGCTTATAAAATATAAAAATGACAGAGAGCTGGCTGTCTGGACTGTCCCCCAAAATTTCTCTCTAATGTGGGAACATCACCTTTAGCCTTTTGGACCAGAATAGCTGACAAAACTTTTTTAAAGCAAGACTTATAAGGGACTTGCTTACCCTGTCTTGGCAGAGCTTGACAGTTAATTTTGTGTGCATCCAAGTTTTGCCCATTTGGGACCACATACTCTCTGCAGCTGAAGCAAAGGGCATTTTCTTTGTCCAGTGGCTAGTTTGTCACATTTGAAGCCATCTCCTAACAGAGGGTCTTCAATACTTGTTATATTCTTGGAGGTAGGCTGAGGGTAGGGCCAAGAGCTTACATGTCTCATTAACAGAAAAGCCCTAAAATAATAAAACACATTTAAATACCATTTTCTGTAGGTCCCTGAGGTTTCTGAAGACCATCTATCTATATATTTTTCAATAGTATATATTCATTATCTGTCTATCTATAATATATCTGGACAAGCAAGCATTGCATGTTTCTAGCTATCTAGTAACTGATCAACTTATTACGTGTATATCTGTAATAAACAAGACTAGTATCTGACATGACTATGAGTTTGATTGACTAACTATTAACTCTTTTAACCATCATAAACAGTTTGTAATAGTATCTCTAAAAGGACTAAAAGTAAACCTGTATTTATAAATGAGTTGTATAGGTACAATACCTTATAAAATAGTTGAAATATATATACATATGTCTTTCAAAAGTAACTTAAAATTTTATCAATATATAATGATATATATCATGTATCAAAAATGACCTTAATCCTGTATCAATACACAAATTTATACCAATGTTAGATTATTGCTTATAAAGTGTTCTTTGGTTCAAGAGCAGATTCTATAATTTACCCTTTTCTCCTATTATTCCTGTATGATATTCCTATAGTCTCCCCTTTTTTCTTCTCAACCACTTTCTACTTACCGAAGAAAAATGGATAGAGAAAAGAAAAAAGAAAGATCCCTGAGTCTAATTTTATATACCTTGGTTTTTCCTTGATCAAGATTGGTTAATAACTTGTAACCAACCCCCTTTAAGAACAAGCATCCATTACTGAATAGAACAACCAAAACGTATTGACCCAACTTTAAAGGAACGTGACATCACAATATTAATATTACTTCCTGCTGATTGGGGGTGTAGTATCCCTTTTGGGGGGACCAAAAGAATTGGGAAAATGGTTGAGTCTTAAGAAAACCAGTTGTTGATGAGAATGTGGAGCAAGGGGGTCACCCCTCCATTGCTGGTTGGAGTGTAAACTTGTACAACCACTTTGGAAATCAATCTGCCACTTTCTCAGAAAATTGGGAGTAGGTCTACCTCAAGATACAACTATGTGACTCCTGGACATATATCCAAAAGATGCTCCACCATACCACAAAGACTGTGTTCATAGCAGCTTTAATAATAACAGCCAGAAACTGGCAACAACCCAGATGTCCCTCAATGAATAATGGATAAAGAAAATTGGATCACTTGCCCCTAGCTGAGCTGCCTTGTCTGGCCTCAGTGGAAGAGGATGTGCTTAGTCCTGATGCAACTTGATGTGTTGGGGTGGGTTGGTACAGGGCAGGGAGGGCTCCCCCTCTCTGAGGAGAAGAGGAGGCAGAAAAGGAGGAAGAGGTTGGGAGGGTGGGACCAAGAGGACAGGATGGAGGGGGCTGTGATTGAGATGCAAAGTAAGTAAGTAAATAAAAGAAACATTAAATTTGTGTTTAAAGTATAGAAAAAAAATCCTTTTCTTTAGAAAGCTATAACATTTGTTATTCAGTCTTTAAATGTTGTGAAAATGCAGATTTAAATGAAGTCCTAGTTGGAACAGTCTGAAAGGCTGCACCAAATGGGTTTGCTGCTTTGATGTTGTCTGAAAAGCAAGTTTTGATGAAGCAGCAGCTGAAGCAGTCTGAAGCTGGATGATGTACGATGCTGGAATAAATGAGTTTCAGCATCTCAGAATCCTGGAGAATGAGTCTTGTCAAGGCCATCTCCATTCTATTGCTGTTTGGTCCTTTTGTCCTGTAAACATGTAAACTCTCACAAGTAATATACATGGGATGTGCAAGGTGCACAGAACAATTAAAGATGATTTCTTAAGAGGGAACAAGTCAGGAGCCTGACACAGAGGACCTCTGAAAAGCTCTGCCCTGCAGACTATCAATGCAGATGCTGAGACTTATGGGCAACCTTTGGGCAGAGTGCAGGGAATCTTAGAAAAGAAGTGGGAAACAGTAAGATCTGGAGAGGACAGGAACTCCACAAGGAGAGCAACAGAACCAAAAAATCTGAGCACAGGGGTCTTTCCTGAGACTGCTATTCCAACCAAGGACTATGCATAGAGATAACCTAAAACGCCTGCACAGATATAGCCCATGGCAGCTCAGTATCCAAGTGGGTTCCATTGTAATAGGAACAGAGACTGTCTCTGACATGAACTGATTGGCCTGCTCTTTGATCACCTCCCCCTGAGGGGGAAGCAGCATTACCAGGCCACAGAATAAGACACTGCAGCCACTCCTGATGAGACCTAATTGACTAGGATCAGAAGGAAGGAAAAGAAGTCCTCCCCTATCAGTGGCCTTGGGGAGGGGCATGCATGCAGAGGGTGGAGGAAAGGAGGGATTGGGACGGAAGGAGGAAGGGAACCACAGGGGGGATACAAAGTGAATAAAGTGTAATTAATAAAGAAAGAAAAAATAGATGATTTCTTGCTTTTTGTATGAGCAACTGAAAGACAACTGTCTTTCTTTAAGCCAGCCTGGCTTGAATAATAATCTGTAATGCCAGTTTGTCTCTATACTAATTTAAAGACTGGCATGATAAGCCTGGAGGATTTTGTAGCCAAAAGGATTTATTATCTTTGTATTGACCTTCTTGTCTCAGCCATTTCAAGAGCTATTCCTATATAGAGGGACCATCATATACATTACCTGTCTTGGTCTTTTTTATTTTCTTCTTCCTGTCTACAGCCATGATCTTTTGGGGAGGAGGTGGTCCCTCCTCTGTGAAATATGATTTTTACCAGATTGGATGGATTCCACAGCTTTTCTTCCCTGTGGGAACAAATTTAAAATCTCCTTCCCAACACAATATAGTACCTTTCTTCCATTTTGGAATCAGGACTTATATAAGCTGATCTAATTCAGCAGACCTTTCTAAAAATCAGTGCCTTTTAACATCTGTACTGCATGTTTCATTGACTTCTAAAAAATTCTTTTTTTTATTCTTTATTAATTACACGTTATTCACTTTGTATCCCCCCTGTGGTTCCCTCCCTCCTCCTGTCCCAATCCCTTCCTCCACCATCTGTATGCATGCCCCTCCCCAAGGCCACTGATAGGGGAGGACTTCTTTTCCTTCCTTCTGATCCTAGTCAATTAGGTCTCATCAGGAGTGGCTGCAGTGTCTTATTCTGTGGCCTGGTAATGCTGCTTCCCCCTCAGGGGGAGGTGATCAAAGAGCAGGCCAATCAGTTCATGTCAGAGACAGTCTCTGTTTCTATTAAAATGGAACCCTCTTGGATACTGAGCTGCCATGGGCTACATCTGTGCAGGGGTCTTAGGTTATCTCCATGCATGGTCCTTGGTTGGAGTATCAGTCTCAGGAAAGACACCTGTGCTCAGATTTTTTTGGTTCTGTTGCTCTCCTTGTGGAGTTCCTGTCCTCTCCAGATCTTACTGTTTTCCACTTCTTTCCTAAGATTCCCTGCACTCTGCCCATAAGTCTCAGCATCTGCATTGATAGTCTGCAGGGCAGAGCCTTTCAGAAGTCCTCTGTGTCAGTCTCCTGACTTGTTCTCTCTTTTCTCCTTCTTCTCATGTCCATCTTCTTTGCCTTTCTGTATACGAATTGAGCATTTTAGCAAGACTCCTCCCTCTTTCCCTCTTGATTAGTTTCTTTAGGTGTACAGATTTTAGTAGGTTTATCCTATATTATGTGTCTATATGAGTGAGTATATACCGTATGCATCTTTCTGCTTCTGGGACAGCTCACTCAGGATGATCATTTTTATATCCCACCCCCCAAAAAAAATTCAAAGTCAACAAAACACCATTTAATCTATCCCTAGGATATTCCTTACCCCCCTTCCATTCTATGAGAACATCTTTTAATTTCTTCTTAGATCTCACCACAATTGCTTGACCTATAGGATTGTAAGTGACTTCTGAAACATTTCTATGCCATAATATCCAGACTTTTGTTGTATTCCAATGGATACATATGCTGAAGCACCATCAGTCACAATTTGCAAAGGCAGCTCCAAGGCAATCACCATTTCTAACAAATATGTAACCTCAGAATCACCCTCCCCAGAATTCAAGGCAAAAGCCCATTGGAATTCTGAATATGTAACAATAAGTAAAATCTGGATTTTTAATTCAATATATTGTATCTCTACAGATTGCCATCCTAATTCCTCAAACCTTTGTGTACTTTTTCACCTGGAGCTATTTTTTCTAATCTCTGTTCTATGGTTTCAACGTAGCAATCCATTTCTCATTCTCCTTTTTCAAGTCTGTTTTACTTTGATCTTTCTTTAAAATATATATAGAACTATGGTTATTACTGAATATATTGTTGTTGTTATTTGTAAGTTGACAATCAACAAAACTGTCCAAATGCCCTCTTTAACAGTGTTTTCCATCTTTTAATATGAAAGTATTTATTTCATTTTTTAAAATCTCTCTAAGTATCTCATGGAAACTTTATTTTATTTTAATTCTTATTCTTTTCTTTTTATTTAAACTGTATTTTTGATTGTGTTCAGTTTGTTTACTTATTTATTTAAGCATTAGCATCTATGTACCTTTGAAATCATTTTTACCTGATTTTCTTTCCATCTCCTTTCTTTGGAGATTTATTTGCTATATGTATTTATTTCTCCCTCTTTTACCACCTTTTAAGTTAATATCTTTTTCTGTATTTAACTTTATCTTAACTCTTCCCCATCTATACGTGGATTATTTCTTTCATTTTATTTAATTATGTCTATAAGGATTGTATTTTATTAAATTCAAACCATTTGTATCTATCTATGATGTTTCACATAAAATCTGCTCCCTCTCTGGCATTAAAGCACTACTTTATACATTTTTTTAATTTTTTATTAATTACACTTTATTCATTTTGTATCCCCCCATAAGCCCCACACTTCATGTAGACATCCAATTGGACCAGCACCATTTGTTGAAGATGCTATCTTTTTTCCATTGTATGGTTTTGGCGTCTTTGTCAAAGATCAGGTGTCCATAAGTGTGTGGGTTTATTTCTGGGTCCTCTGTTCGGTTCCATTGATCCACCATTCTGTTTCTATGCCAGTACCATGCAGTTTTTAAAATTAAGACTCATAAGACTCAAAGTGTTATTTATAAATGCCTATGCCATACAGCTAGGATCATTCTCTGATTAGCTCATGACTTAATTAACCCATTAATTCTACTCTAAGTTCTGCCATGTGGCTTGTGGGCTTCGATCTTCCAAAAACCTACTTTATTTAGGGTTCTTAAACATCTTTACCTCTCTTCCAACTCCTGCCCCTAGTTAAAAGAGAAAGCAAGTTAGTAGGGACAGGAGATGCAGACCTCTCTAGCTACTTCTTTCTGGTTAGGGTTGTTGGTTCTTTAGGGCAATACCAATCTCAATCATCAGGATTCCAGAAGTCCAGTCAAACAGCAAACAGCAAATGGTACCAGCAAACCTTAAACATTCTCTGGAGCCTATCTCTCTAAGAATGTTGTTGATGATTATTAATATGTAATATTGATTTACCTTTTAGTTAAATAGTGGCTATTCCTAAACCAGCTGTATACCCAAATCACCACACAGAGAGTAGGATTTATTTAATTAACCTAGAGCACAATGCTGGGCAATGATTACTCCACCCTAAAACTCCAAGCATGCATACCTTCCTCCCATTCAGATTTCCCACATTATACTTGCTTTTTAGTCACATCTTAGGTCTGATTCATCTCTCCTGGTGTTTCCTGGCCCTCTCCTCTCAGATCTCTCTTCTCAGATTCCTCCTCCCATTCACTTTTTCTCCTCCCCTCCAGACCAGGATGTCCTACCTTATTCTCTCCATTGCTCACCACTGGCTCATTGTTTTTATTGGCAATACAGACAACAAATGGTGGCATGTTTACACAAACTTGACACAGGTGATGCTTAGAATAAGTATCAAAATGCAAAGTCTGGATTGAAACCAGATAATGGGGTAGAGAAATCAGCATTTGAATGAACAAGGGTAAATTGTATACATTCCACATTAACATTATACCAACAGAATGTCAAGAAGCCAAGCCAAGCTAAATGATGCAAAGCTTAGCTAAGCAATGAAAAGTAGGCTCTCCATGTCTCTGGAGAGTTCTCAGAGTCCAAACAAGGATGTTTTCCAGCTGACAAGAACCACACCACTCCTACAATATAGTTTCTAGATGGAAAATATCACACACCTCTCACGAGTCTGTTTTCAGTGGTGGATAAAGCATTTCCACATCCCACACTTGGGACCAAAACAAACACAAATTCTCATGACACAACCGATTTTTTAAAGAAACCAAAATTTCCACTACAATAGCTGGTTACCTGTGCTCAGGTACCATGTGTCTGTTCTCCTCACATTGCCTCACTCTCTCCGAGAATTCTTTCTGCCTCCTGGGTGTCCCACCTCCTATTTCTTGCCTAAGCTATAGGTCATGGGTTTGTTTGTTTGTTTGTTGATAAACTGGTGATATATCTATACAATACACAAGATATTCTCTCAAAAATCATCTCCCATGCAGGCTTGTCGACTGTTGCCTCAAATACAAGAATTGCAAAATCCTGGCCTCAGTGCTTGGGGCCTGCTCCAGCCTGGTTGAGCTAGACCTGCAGCTGAATGACCTGGGAAACCATGGTGTGAAGCTGCTGTGTAAGGCACTCAAGAATCCTGCTTGTAACCTCAGCATCCTGAGGTAAGCAAGACCCTGAGATTCCCTTTTGGAGGGAGTAATCTGTGAGGAGGCCCATGACAGTGTTCTGAGGCCTAAAGGAGAAAGAAGACTTGGTTGGGACAACCTGTGGCTAGCAGCCCAGGGAAAGGCAGAGTTGGGAAAGGCTCTGGAACAGAAAGGCATTGGAGTCATGAGGTTTCAGTAAACAGGCCTGAGACAGTCCCCTGTCCCAAAAATTGTGCCATTCCCTCTGCCCTTAGGTTTCATGCAAGGTAGGAAAGTTCCAACCAATAGCCCTGGGGACCCATGTCCTTCTCCAAGAAGCTGCTTCATGCCATCTCTAAGCTTACTCTCCTGTCTGTCCACCTTCCCAGCAGAGTCCCACAGACATTTATTAGAGTAACATTTCCCAGAGTTAGCTGGCCAGTGTCTTTCTGGTGCTCAGAGAACCACAGAGGCCCTAGACCCTTGAACCCAGAGACTTCTGGTTCTCCCAGCTAACAGGAAAAGTCCCATAAGACTGTGCCCAGAAACTTTCCTCCATCAGGCCTCCAACTTCAATTCAATTATTGTTGTTGTTGTTATTTTGGTAATGTGTATGTATGTGTCAGTAGTTCTCAATCTCCTAATATGGTGACACTTAATATGGTTCCTCATGTTTTGGTGACACCAACTAAAAAATTATTTATGTGCTACTTCTGAACTGTGATTTTACTACTGTTATGAATAGTATTGCAAATGTCTGATATTTCCAATGGTCTTAGGTTACTTCTGTAGAAGAGTCATTTGACCCTCAATGAGGTCTCGACTCACAGGTTGAGAACTACTGATACATGCAAAAGCAGATGCCTCCAGAGACCAGAGGAGTCAAAATCCCTTGGGACTGGAGGTACAGGTGGATATGAGCCACCTGATGTGGCTTCAGGGAATTAAAGTCAGGTCCTCTGGAAGAGCAGTATGTGCTCTTAACCACTGAGCCATCTCTCCAGCTCTCTTCTTCACTCCTCAAATGCACAGGAGCAGCTGGGCACTGAAGACTCTTGTTTCCACCCCTCTGGGAGCTGAAACTGGCCCAGCTGCTTGGACTCTTTGTTCTCCAGCCTGCTTTCCTCAGCCATGACTGTTCCTCACAAATGGAAGAGCAAGTCTGCAACTGGCCACTGTTGCAGGTCTGCCTTCCAGACATCTCAGTCACATGTGTAGTCTTAGCTGCATCCTTCCCTCCTGGAGACTGAACAATCTGGACCTCAAAGCCTCCATCACCCTCCCCAGGGAGAGCATCCCACAGAGCAGATGGTGACATTGCACAGCCTCTCACAGAGCAGGAGCCTTTCCCCTCCTGC